GGGGGGGGGTTTGCCAAGCCTTGGACTTGATGCTGAGAAGTCATAGAGACCTAAACCGATCTCCCACCCTGGCTCCTTCCTCAGCAGCTTAGATCCCGCTGCAGGGCTTGATCCCCAAGCCAATCTCTACATCCTATCCGTCACAACCTGGTGTCATTCTCTAGAGAAACCAGGTGGAGAGACAAAACGAAGTGTCACCTGAAAAGGGGGCTCCCAACCACCCTCGCCCCACATGAAACCCAAAGGCTTCAGGAAAGGTGTGCGTGTGTACATAAAGTAGTGGGACGTCTCTAATGGCTTTGGAGGGGGAAGTGAGGAGAAAAGGCGACTCATCGTCAGCCAAGAGGCAAAAAAAAAAAAAAACGTTTGCCACATGGAGCTATTCAGCGGGCTCTCGTTACCGCTGACATCTGACTTCTTTAAGGCAGGCATTCACACAAAGGCGTCGGGAACCGCATCCAAAGACGCCGGCTATTGAGCTAGACCCACTCCTTCCCCTCCTCCCTGAAAAAATAAGTGGGCAACATCACTGTGAAGCCAAGGATCTGAAGGCAAAAGAGCTTGACAAAGAAGGATGCTGCATTTCTGGCTTCTTTGCCGTCCCTGGATCTCCCTTAATATTTAATGAAAGTCACCGAGCTGAGCATGTTTTGCTACATAAAGGTTTACACTAGCCGACAGCGTTAAATAGAGGCGTCGCCGGCTGGGGTGAGCCGGGAGGGCGAGAAGGGAGAGGAAGTGAAGAAGTGCGGAGGATTCACACGGGAGAATCCGGCGCGACCATTTAATCTCCGCGCCTGTTGTCAGTTTTATTGACCCCTCGCGTGTTTTGGCTTGTAAAAATGTTTAAAAGTGACATCTCCCACTTCCTCCCTTCCTTTCAGCGCCCCACCGACTTGGGCAAGTTTTATGAAGGAAATTCAGGAGGAGCTGAGTCCTGATCTTCCAGGAGCTGCTAAGGGGGCATTTGCTCCCCCTGTGCCCGCATGCATTTGGAACAGGTACATGTCTACCCTTGCCATCAAAGCTGCTCTTGAAGAGATGACTCTAAGTCCGCAGCGTTGAAGTTTGCCTGCCTTCTCTCCATGGACTGGAAGGGCTTTTCCGACTAGCTTTCCCCTGTAATTTCCACAGTCGAGCTTCTGCAAAGAGCCCACAGCTCTCAAGTCTCTCTTAGTTTCTTGAGACCAGAGGGCCAAGTTCTGCTCTAAGTTACATCAGCTTTACATCAGTGTAACTCCACTGACTTTCAGGAGCCTCCTGAGTTGCTTCCGTGTAAATGCTAGCAGGCCCTTACACCATGCTTTGTTACCTAAACTTCCCAAACTTTAATCAGATGAACATCTATCTATCTATCTATCTATCTATCTATCTATCTATCTATCTATCTATCTATCTATCTATCTATCTATCTATCTATCTATCTACATACCTACTTACTTACCTACCTACCTACCAGCCATAGCAAAGTCAGGCAATTTTAGCTTCAAGTTTTCCCCTTTGTACAAACATCCTAACAAAATAAAATTCGGATTAATTCATTTCTTTTTTATGATCAGGCTTTGATGGGGACAGAGCCTCGAAACGATCAGCCTGCTGAAGAATGCCCAGATCATTGTCCCAGGACCTGAATCTACCTACTGCACTTTGGGAACACAGGCAGCCTCACCTATTGTTCAGCCCTCCATTGACAAAGTAACTTCTTCCTCTCCTGTGATCAAGTATTGTCCCTACTTAAAAGGCAAACAGCACATTTTTGCACTCCCACAACAATTTAATTTTGAATCCGAAATGTGGTTAGTTATTTGCTTTTCTGTTCAGTCGGTTTACAACGGGACTCAGCCAAGCACTATCTTTTAAAAGAAAAGCCATCAACCTGTGTTGTTATTCCAATGAGGCATTCTCGTTCTTGGGAGCAGGGGTGGGGAGAATTGGTGAAAAATGAGTTATGGCTGGTTAAGGGATGCTGCGATACAAAACTCCTAGCTGTATTTTTTATATTAAGGTCGTGGTCTTTTACTAGGTTTATATGCCAATGAGGCGTTCCCGGTTTACCAAATTTATACAAATCTCTCCTTAATTGGTAATCACAGATGCTGTAATTTAAGACCCCCAGCTATAGAGCCTTCATATTAGCTGCTGATCTATTACTGTAAATCGTCTGAAATAATCAACTCCAGGGAGTGGAGTAGGGAGAACGATCCCCGCTCTAAAATATCATCGCTTCCACATCATTTTCACTTGAGAAATGATTTATCTTGGACACCGCCATAAACAACACAACTCTCTCACAAACACACACACAATGGCAGCCGCAGTGCTGCTGACATGCTTATTGTAATAAATCAAGAAAGGGGGAAAAAGAGGTTGTGAGGAGAGAGAGAGCGAGCGAGAGGAATATTCCTAAAAATATCAATGAAATGCCTCGATGGGTATAAACACACATACCACCATGTGAAGAGAAATGGGAGGAAATGAAGACGGCTATTTGTCACATTTTACGACAATAACATTAATAACAAACAATAAATTTACATGGACATATAGACACGCTAGGAATTGGGAAGCCCCCGCTACTTACAATAATCCAGCCCTCGGCGTGGCTTCTTGCTTCCTGAGAATTGTTTTATTGCAGACTTCTCTCTCTCTCTCTCTCTCCCTCTCTCTCGCCCTCCCTCCCTCTCTCTCTCTCTTTCTCTCTCTCTTTCTCTCTCTCTTTTTTTCCTCGGCTATAGGCTTGTTTTTTAAAGGACAGTTGAATTTCACGTCAGACACAAGGAGACCATGTCTGCGATTTTCCTGACGAATACATATCTATTCTGCAACCGCTGCATTAATTATTTAATGAATCACGTGATCTGCAAGGGGGGAAGGGGGTCTCTCAGTTTCATACTCAAAGGACCACTGTGACCTTCCACTGGAACAGTATTTTTCCCCCCTCAAAAAATAAGTTAAGAAGCGAATGAAACATTCTAGATCCGCACAGACACAATCGCCCCAGAGTTATTTCTAATAACTCCGGAGTCCTTCTCACCCTGGCACGTGAAGATGGGGTGTATGGATGCAGCGAGCTCCATACTTCTCTCTATTAAAGAACTCTCTAGGAGGGTTATAGCCCCATGCCACCCGCTCTCCCAGAAGTTGCAAATATTTAAAAGCTTTCCTAAAACCTTCTTGTTGGATATTGCTTCTCTGCCCAGCTGGCCACACAACGTTTTTCACCCTGACGTTTTATTACTGCCCGGCCCTGAATAGAACAAATGTTCCAGAGGCGAAACTAGCTGAGAATACCTATATTCGTGGCTCCATATTTTCAAGGGGATTTCGTTTTGCCAGTCAGGGAAAGAGTGTCGCTGCTGCTGTTATTGTTTGCTTAGCCTTCTTTGAGATGGCTGTTGTGTTTTGGAGTCCAGTGTTGGCTCTCCAGCGAGATGCCAAACACGGGCTCCTGCAAAAGAATGGGCAACAAAGGCAGCCACTTATATTGCATACACTAAGAGCTGCTTAAGCGACAAATAAACACAGGGCGATGCT